ACAGGAAACAAGTGATGTTCTCAACTTAGCAGAAACTACTAGTGTTTAAAGATGTTGCCATACTAGAAAAAAAATAATTTAAGAAGCATGGTATTTTTTAAAAAATAAATAAAATCTGTGCTTCCAGAAGAGGAAGGGATGATGATGGAGGAGGAGGAGGAGGAGGAGGAGGAGGAGGAGGAGGAGGAGGAAGAAGAAGAAAAAAAAAAGGAAGAAGAATGAAGATTGTAATGGTCAAATAACATTCAGGGGGCCAATGTAAAGTCACATCCCAGCTGCACAAAGACATCAAAAGTCTCTTGACAATTTCACATTCCAGGTGCAAAAAATCGACCTTCTGTGGGGTTACCACGTCAGAATGCAGTGTTGAATTTAAAGTCATATGCCTAAGATTAATTAAGAAATGTTGACATAAGAAAAAAGAGGAGCCCCAGACTTCTTATAAATTCTCCTTTCACAGTTCTGCAATCCAGTTTCTCTACAGAGTTTTGTTTCTTGCTGCAATGTATAGGAACATTGTCAGCTGTCAGTTACGGGAACATCAAAGATAAATAATGTGTGGCTTTTTTTATTGTAATCAAAGGACAGCTGTTTGTCATTTCCCAAAGAGAAGGTTATTTCACGTCCTTCATCAACAAAGCATGAAGTCAAAAGTAACGGGATTGGGTTTTTTTTTTCTTTCCAAGGAAAAAAAGAAGATGATGACGACTCGGAATTCAAAAGTAGGATCGGATGGCTAAGAAATGTGACAATTATTTACAGCAAATTTAGAAGAAAGTCTCACTTATGTTAATGGGATTAATTTTCAAGGAGATGCGTACAGGATGACAAAATAAGGAACAAGCCAAATCGTGCCTTCCCTAACTTGCTTCTTTAAAAGCTTTCTGTTTTTAATTAGACATCTACTTCTGTTTTTTAAACAAATCTGTTCTGTTTCATGATTTCAATTGATCTAGAGACTGCCATCCAGTTGCTCCCCAATTAAAATTTCATACCATCTCCTGGCTGGGTTTTATAAAGCTTCTGGAATCCGCGAGTCTCTCTGCACACAATGCCATAATCTTTTACCAAATGCATCCCGTTAGTTGTACTTTCTGCACAAAGTACCAGTCGAGACTTGACTTAAGGATTCTGCAAAGTTTCATTGGGTCTGAAGGAATAATAAATACCCAATTCGTTCTTTCGCCTGGTTATTTTTACAGACGCCAAATCAGATCTAGCAAACTCTTTTTAAGAGATGCCCACCCACCCCAAAGCTTGGGCACCAAGATTTGATTGTTATTTGATTTCATTGCCCTTGAGCGAATATAACTCCTGCCTCTCCAGTTACAAGTGGCTTTAGGAAGTAGCCATCTCTGTTTCAATTTGGCTTCAATGAGGAGATGGAAGGCGAAGGGGCTTATTATACGTTTTAATACATTTTATCCAACCCGCCCACATCATTTTGACTTGACATGGTTTAAAGACGGGAACTTCACAGAGAAGGCACAAGCTAAAAGACACGATGCCCCCTCTCTGAAATGAAAGAAACGCCTTAGCCATCTGTTCCCGTCCTATTTGAATACCAAGCGTCGCTTACATGCGAGAGACCTTAAAGTAGAAATCATTTCTACTGCAAGAAGCCTCAACGCACCGGAAAAGCGAGTGACACCAAAGGGGAAAAGTCAACACTGCACACAAGACACCAAAAAGTGAGAGTTGTGGAGATTCTCAATCCTCCAGGTCATGACTGTCCCCCAAGAGGCTTTTTTCCAAAAGGCAACTGAACTTCCTTGGTTTTATTTTCCTTTGAAAAGGTCTCGCTTCTCATCTAAGAAGATTCTTCAGTTCTGAAGTCCTGAAAAAGCTTCTCAGAGGAGAAGCAAAACGTTCTTAAACAAAAGAAAAAACAAGACAGTCCAACTGTCTTTTGGAAAAACACTTCTGGGACAGTCAAGTACTTTACCTGTACTCTACTCAATGTGTGGCGATCAAAGGGCTCTACTCACCATGTGTTGTTGAGTAGAGAGAAAGACGTTTTTCAAATTTTAGACAAGTGTAGAACGAAATAAAATATTTGGGCGTTTCTAGCCCTCTAAAATTGGGGCATAGCGATAATGCAAAGAGTGTCTCACTGTGTGCATAATAAAATCAGGGTTTTATACAGGCAGCAAATTCTATGGGAGAACATGTACACCCCAAGAAACTTCCATTTGAGGCAGGGGGAGACTTCAGATCTGCCAATCTGAGAGCTCAATCCAACTGCTTGGTGTGTTCCTTTTAAACTAAACAAAAATAAAAAAAGATAACAGAGTAGAAAATGTTTTAATAATAAACAATGATCTAATAATAAACAATGAGTAGAAACAAAAGTTGGCAAGCTTTGTATTCATTCTAGGATCTCAGAAAACACATTAACAAGAAAATCAGCTTTGTGGCAGTTTAAAAAATTGAAAGAGCTTGGTCATTTTGATCAGAATTAGGATTTTTTTCTTCCCCAATCTTATTCCTACTGAAAATTTCGTCTGATTTGAATGCTCTTGTACATTCACAATATGCAGAAAACTTTTTCTATGTATTGTTTTATGGGATGAGATAAAAGAACTATACTGTTTGGAGAAATTGAGAGACACTTTCTGACTGTAACTATTTCAATAACTCAGGAGACTGTAGAGAAAACAATACTTTTGAGGATGTTCCTTTAATTTACTTTATACTAAGGAACAGTTTGCAAATGTTCATTCAGTTCTGAGCTTACACCACTCCTAATGTTTTCAAGTAATCTGCATCCTCTTTGTGCATTGCAAATTATAATTCCAACCGCAAGAATTTAAGGAAATACAAAGTTTTAAAGTTTCATAACAAAGGAACTAGGGAAAAGTCTCAGATACATACAATTTGAAAACTAAGCGTATTTTGGGTGTCTTAGAGTTTGATTTGTAATAGCAAAAAAAAAATTTACCAAAACCTTGAATTAATCCTACTTCTTTCTATTCTGTGTATTTATAAAAGCATATTTTCCTGCTTGCATTTTGACTGAGCAGACACTTATATGAATTTTGCAAAAGGTTTTTGCAGTAAGGACATCAAACAAAATTAGTTCCAATATTACTATATGATCACCTTCCTTTAAGAAAATTTGCTGCGGGCGTTTTTTGCCTGCTATTTACATAATCTCATTCAACCACAACTTCCCTCTGGGGAACCAAGCATCCAATAGAGGTTTGTCCCACTTCTGGGGTTTACAGCCAAGGACTTGGTAGAGCAGATGGTAGTTTGAATAAACCTTGCTTGGATCTTTTCCTTATGGCAGGCTCCTGAAATCGCAACCCAGTTTGTCTTGTTGGCTAGGTTAGAGCCACATGAGAACCCAGCCAAAATCTGGGGATCTTTGAATCTACCACTACTAAGATATGACCACTGACACGTCCAGCAGTGTTTTATCCCAACCTCCAGGACCTTAAACCCAGGGATACAATCAACTTCTAAGCAGTTTCTATAGCAACCAAGTTTTCTATTAGGGCAGATACACTATGCAAAATTCAGAGAAAGCGGTTAAGAGAAATAGAAACGGTCCTCAGCCTAGATTGATCCTTGTCAACTCACTAGAAGTTGTTTTTAGGTAGGAATGTTTAGGATAATGCTGCTAAATGCAATCTTGAATCTCTTTTTTTTCCTCCAAAGAATTTCTCCACCCAATAGTCAACTTTCCCTCCAAAGGGTGCATCTTTTAAAGAAGATTAAACTTCATAACTCTGAAGTGAATCTATGGAAACTGAAGTGGAACTCAACAACTTGATACCCTAACAAAAACATCAATGCCCTGTTGCAAAGGAGGCCTTCCAAGCCAAGATTAAAGTACCCAGAGGCGTCTTTTTAAAAAGAAGCAAAAAGTGGAACTTATTTTAAAGCATCGTGTGCAACTGGCCTTAAATCCCAAAGTCTGTGTCCCACTCCCGCTTGCTTGCAGGCAAGAGTGCAAAGGAATATGTCCTGCAAACAGCCCTGCCGGAAACCAAATGCCCCCTTATTTTTAAAGCATGGGCTTAGCTCCACATTGTACACACGCGCACGGGGTTTTAATAAGTGGCGGGCAAATCCTGTGTTTTGCAACCAGCTTCAGTAAAGTTCTTTTGTACAACCCAGCTTAGGGCACCAACTCAAAGAGGCGTCTTTTTACAGGCGGGACGGGCCCCAATTCCCCAGAAACTTGCTTAGAAGTTGGACCACACCATCAACCTCCCTTCTCCTCACCCCTTCTCGACTCCCTCCCCTTTGCCTTCCCAAAGGCCGGTAAATTTTCACAGCCAGAAAGTTTTGGGTCTCTGTCCCCAGACAAAGCCTTTGTGGGGGGACCTCGGACTTCCTAGAAAAGTATCTTCTTTTTCTCGGAATGAATAGCCCCTCCAAATCCAGAGGGGGGGGGATTTGAAGTTTCCCACTCTTAAATTCCCCACTTGTCCACTATTCCAGGTGTCAAATTTCCTGCCCCCACAAAAAAAAAGCCTTCTTCACAGACTGTCTCCTCTAAAGGTCCCAAATGCCAGAAGAGATGCAGATCCTGGCTTGCTTTCTTTCTTTCTTTCTTTCTTTCTTTCTTTCTTTCTTCCTTCCTTCCTTCCTTCCTCTCTCTCCCCCCCCTCCCTTTCCTTTCTTTCTTTCTTTCTTTCTTTCATGTGTTTACTATGATATCGTGTGAATTACTTTCGAAAGGCCAAGAGCCGCTAGCCGGAATTGTTTCCTAATTTCCAACCGGGGGTGGACGGTGGAGGGGGAATCCCAAAGTACCCGTTAAAGAGACCCGTGCCACGGAGCGCGACCTCTCGCGTGCCCGCGTTAAGCACCCCGGCACGCCCGTAACCCCTATTCACACGTTCGGAAGCGATTTCTCTCGCCCAGGAGGGTTTTTTTTTTAACCCCTTCTGTTTCCCGGCGTCCGAAGGGGCTGCTTTCTCCCTCTCTGCCCCCGCTTCCCAAACGGGGAAGGGGTTTTTCTCTCTCACACACACACAGGCGCTCACCTGGCGTTGGTGCAGTCGCTGTACAAAGTTTCGAAGTCTTTGCGCGTGATGAGCTTGCACCGGTTGACGCCCGGCTGGATGGCGCCCAGCCCGCGCAGGATGCGCACTTGCTCCACGGTGCACACGACGGGCGCGATGTCCAGCCGCTTCAGCTTGGTGTAGACGGTGTGCAGCCCGCCGACCAGGTGCTTGAGGAAGAGGTCGAAGACCTGCGGCAGGCAGATGAGCTCCTGCCCGTCCACCACGAAGGAGGCCACCTTCACCCCGTGCAGGTCCACCATCTTGCACTCGTTGCCCACCAGCGGACCCGACGGCGCCGAGGCCCCGGAGACCCCCGCCGCCGGCGCTGCCGCTGCTGCTCCGCCGACGCCGCCTCCTCCTCCGCCGGCCGCGACCCCCAGGAGCCCCCCGCCGCCCGCGGGCGCCGCGTTGGAGATGAAGCCGTGGAGGAGGCTCCCGCCGCCGCCGCCGCCGCTGCAGCTGCCGCCGCCGGCCAGCCGCGGGGACTCGGAGGGGCTGGGGGCATAAAGAGGGTCCGGCCGGAACAACCCGGCCGAGCCCCCCGCGCTGCTGCTGCTGCTGCTGCTGGTGCTACTGCTGCTTCCACCGCCGCTGCTGCTGCTGCCGCCGCTGCAGCCTCCGCCGCCTCCTGCTCCGCCGCTGCTTCCTCCTCCTCCTCCTCCTCCTCCGGGGTTGGAAGTTGCGGGAATGCTCGGGGGAGAAGACACGGCCATGCTCTCTACCCCTCCGCCCCGGCCGCCTGCCTCGGCGTCGGCGTCGGCAGCCGCATCCAACCCGGCCGGCTCCACTTTTTCCTCCAAACTGTTTGCCGCTTCCTCGAGGAAAGGAGGCGAAAGCAGCCGGCGAGCGATGCAAAGGGGGGGGGGGGGGGGGGGGGGGGGGGGGGGGGGGGGGGGGGGTTTGGACCGACCCTGGCCCGGCCCCGCCCACGACCCGCCCCTTTCCCCGGGGAGCGCCGAGAAGCAGCCTGCTTGCCCGCCCAGGCGCCTCCTCGCCCCCCTCTCCTCTTCCCTCCCTCTGCCCGCCCTTCCCTCTCGATAGATAGATAGATGGATGGATAGATAGATATACACACACACACACACGCACACACCGCGCTCCGGGCTGGGGGGGGGGGGCGTAGAAAGGTGGGAGGGGTCCTTCCCTCGCTCCTCCCACCCGGAGCGCTGGTAAGGGGTCCCAGCCGGAGTGGAGGGGGCTTTTGCAGAAGCCTCAGGAGGTTTTCTCTCTCTCTCTCTCTCTCTCTCTCTCTCTCGCCTGGCTTTCCTTGCTGCGGGCGCCCGGTTGGAGATGGAGCGGCCAGATGGACAAGTTAAAAAGAGGCAGAGGGGAAGTTAAGGAGGCTTCTGGGGACGGGCGCCAAGTTGAGAGGGCTGGGGTGTGTGTGTGATAAACACACACAGAGAGAGAACACACAACACACACAACACACATCAACCATCTGCATGAGTTTACACGTGTCTTTCCGGCAGCGAGGCGCGGGGCTCCTTTGCGCGTGGAGGGGGTAACCCTTGGGACCAGCCCGCTTGGGGGAACAGAAAAACGCTTGGAGGATCGCCTGTGGATGTGGGGAAGGGGCGAGGGACAAAGCTGGAGAGAAGCCGGCGGAGGACACGCGCTCGGCGGGGCGAGGAAACTTGTGGAAGGGGTTGAGACTTGGGAGGAAGCGAGATCGGATAGTAGACGCAGCCTTGAGATGGCAAGTCTTCAATTCCTTAAGAATGTTTCCCCGTTTAGTAGATCCCGAACGATTTCATTCTTCTAGGAAAAGGGGCTTCCTACAAATGGTACCCTTCTTTTGCACGCACAAACCAGCCTTGGCTTCCCTGCACCTCACAATCAAGAGGCTGGCAGTTCAATCCTAGCTAGAGGCTAATGTTTGGGATAGACTCTCCTGCTCGAGCAGGGGGTTGGCCTAGATGACCTCCAAGGTCCCTTCCAACTCTGTTATTCTACGTTCTAACCAGAGTTGCTGCTGCATTCACACAACAAACGCTAAAGGCCGAGCCTGCCTTGCGATGGGGTTTGCCATGTGCAAATGTGCCAGTAACTTTTTTTCAAGCCACACACAGCACCGTCGAACAAGCCAGACTTTAGTTTCCAAAGACTGGAGAAGATGGCTAAACGCCTAGTAGAGCTGCATTCAGACATTATTAAGCATTGATTGGTCAGCCACTTTCAGCCCGGGTTGCAAAACTCTGGATAACTGCCGGCAGGATGGCAGCAGAAATAACGCAGAAAATGCACTGTGGCATTGCGATCTAGATCTGTAACCTTACGTAGGACTAACCATGGTTTGCTTGATTCACCCAAGATTGCTAAGCTGTAAAACATGGTTTAGAATAGCAGACAAGGCTCAAAAATGTGAAGCGCAGACGTATCAGTTGGCCAAGCACCCAGCATTTGCTCACTTGACCATAAGGCTGCAACAGTCATAAGTGCAAGAACTGGTCACAAATCACATTTTTCACTGCCATCGTAACTTTGAACAGTTGCTAAACAATGCTTGTAAGTCAAGGCCTACCTTTAAATAATTAAATATTTAATTAAGAATTATAATTATTATCCTGTGTTGATTATTGTTATTTTGTTTTGCATGTACACTCTGAGCTTACGTACCAGAGACAAATTCCTTGCCAAATCATACTTGGCCAATAAAGCCTATTCTATTCTATTCCATTCTATTCTATTCCATTCCATTCTATTTCTATTTCTATTTCTATTCTTCATTCCAATATTCTATTCTATTCCATTCTAATTCTATTCTATTCTATTCCATTCAATTCTAATTCTATTCTATTCTTATTCCCTTCTCTGTATTATATTCTATTCCTAATTCATATTCTATGTTACTCTATTCTATTCTTTTTATTCCTATTCTATCCTACCCTACCCTATTCTATTTTAATAATTCTATTGTATTTTCTATTTTCTATTCTATATTCTATTTTATTCTGCATTCTATTCTATTCTTATTCTGCATTCTATTCTTATTCTATTCTATTCTATTCTTATTCCATTCTCCATATTCTACTCTATTCATTTTATTCTTATTATATTCTATTTTATTAATTCTATTTTATTTTCTATACTCAGTTCTATTTTCTCTATTCTATTCTATTTTCTATTCTATATTCTATTCTATTTTCTATTCTGTTTTCTATCCTATCCTATCAACTTTCAATCTCTGTATTACAGGGATTCCCACGCTTTGAGCTGTGCAACTGCCTGCTGTGAACTTGTGTAGCCCAAATGAAGAACTAAACCACAGAGGGCGTTTCAATCATACGGTTACACGGTACATTATTTGCACCAACTTAAATCCGTTTTTTTAAAAAAGTTCTCCCTAAGTGGTTTACAAGAGTGAAGCCCAATTACAGTTGGCTAATCTGTAGTGAGAATAGACCGATGGCAGGACTACAATCGCAGCCTTGCCGGTCCAGCCACAGGCGGACTGAATTCACCCCTGTATCAACTGGAATGCTTGTATCAGATATTCCAAGATGAAGGTAGCCAGCAATTGCAATTGTGAGTCAGAGATCAGCTGCCTCTAAACACGGTCTTACCTGAAAGAGTTGGAAAGCACACCTATGATTTTAAACCTGTGTTCTTTGTGTAAGCCCTCTCCATTGCCTTTTTCTATGCAGAATTACAAACTGATCCCACCAGGTAAGGTGTCAGGTTCTCTACGACAGAAGTCCCCAACAGAGGTGGTTTTCAGTCGGTTCGAACCGGTTCTACCGTACCGGTTGTGGAAATTTTGAGTAGTTCGGAGAACTGGCAAATCCCACCTCTGACTGGCCCCACCAATCGCATCTCTTCTCTGCCTCTCATTGAGTCCCAGATAAACTTCTGTGTCTTCTTTGGTTGCCCTGCGTAAGAGAACGGAGCTGGAAAGCAGGTTAGTGGGGTGGGGAGGGAAGGGGGATTTTGCAGTAACCTTCCCCCAGGAGTGGGGTGGGAATGGGATTCTACAGTATCCTTCCCCTGCCACACCCACCAAGCCACGCTCAACAAGCCACACCACACCCACCAAACCTTGCCCACAGAACCAGTAGTACATTTTTTTGAATCCCACCACTGGCATGCAACCACATATATCAATTGGGGGAAAAGCAGTCACTTTCAAAATAAAAGCAATCCATGCAGGCTTGACAGCTGGTTCGGACCAGTTCTGGAGAACCGGTAGTGGAAATGTTGAGTAGTTCAGAGAATCGGCAAATACCACCTCTGACTGGAGATTTTACGATATCCTCCCCCTGCCATGCCCACAGTACCAGTAATAATAAAAAAAAATCAATCCCACCACTGCCCCACCCTATCCCGTCCTATATTCTCTTGGTTTTTTTTAGCTCAGCTGAATTGTGTGGCAGAGCGGATTACTGTGCCTCAGCTGAGCTAAACAGCAGCTCAGCTTACCAGTGCCGACAGAGGGTGGTTTTTGATTGCTACGCGCGCGCGCAAAGCATGCTTTCATAGAACCGGTAGGAAAACATTTGGAATCCCACCACTGGTCCCCAGCTCTCGGTCCATGGACCGGCACGGGGCCACGGCATGCCAGAAACCGGGCCGTGCATACAAGAGATGCCTCATCCGTAGGATGCAGGCAGCATGCAAAACCAGGCTCCCTCTGGGCCACGGGAAAATCTCTCTCCACGGAACCGGTCCCTGGCACCCAAAAGTTTGGGGGTCGCTGCTCTACGAACAGGTGAGCTGGGCATTAATTTACAAACCTTGAGCATTTCCTGAGCATGGAGAAGTGCGGTTCTCTTTTTCCACGGATAGTTGCTTCTCAAGGCTACTGTTTTTATACAGCCTTTATGATTTTATATTGCTTCATGCCACTCTTGACACGAAAAGGAATTGATGCTCAAGGCTTCCATTGGCCTTGCAAAAACTCATCCTTATTTAGAAATCTATTTAGCTTATGGAAAGCATTAAAGTCGGGGCAGAGGAAGGGGGGGATCCCAAGAGCAAGGAATTTGATAGTCTGAGGAGAGGAACAAAATTCCTTGAAAGGGAAGGAAGGAAGGAAGGAAAACAACAACAGGGCAAAACCTATAAATTAGGTTTTATATTTCCTGTCTGAAGATCTTTGCACGGGTCTTGTTTAGAATTAAAGATTCAACGCTTAAAAGTGGACAGGATGTTTAAAAAAATGGGGGCTAATTCTCTCAATTAGAAATTTTGGGTGGTCCGGGCCTTGATTTTTTCTGTCAAAAATCTGAAAACCGAATCTTCAGGGCTGTTGAAAAGATAAATGGCTTGAATGTGTCAATCTTTTTTTATACTGTACAAAAAGTTGACTGGGTTTGCATAAATAACACTGAACTAGCCAGTTACATATTAAGTGAGTTTAGCCTACACGATCGTTTAGTGCATCCCCAAAAACTGAATTTAACAGATTAAGAGTTGGAAAGGACCTTGTTGATTGCTGGTCTCGCTGTCAGAAAATGTGTCCTTATTTTCAGGTTGAATCTCTCCTTGTTCAGTTTCCATCCATTATTCCTTGTCTGGCCTTCAGGTACTTTAGAAAACAACCTGACCCCCTTTCTCCTCTCTGTGGCAGCCCCTCAAATATTGGAAGACTGCTATCATGTCTCCCCTGTCATCTATGACAGTTCTGTTGAATTCACAAGGCTTCAATTCTTAAAAATGATCATTTACCTAAGGAAGATAGGACTGTGCTCCTGGTATTCCAACATCCAACGTT